ACTTTGATCAGCCACCCAAACGAATCCGCCTCGCTCTGCGGTTCAAGAGGCTTGATGAGTAAGATACTCCGGTGCGAGAGGCGGAACCCTACGGCGGAGTCAGGGAAGAGACTACCACCGTTATCGGGGAGGATTGGGAGGTGATGTGTCGGGAGAGAACGTTTCGGCTCGGCGGCGGATCGCCATGAAGAACATACGGAACGGAACTGGACGAGATCGAAGGACGAATCTAGGGATTTTGAGATTAGGTCTAAGAGATCCTTCGGGAGTGTAGACCAATCCACCATCGATCATCGATGAAATTGAAATGCCTGAGAAAATACACAAATTTGGAAGTTGATGATACCAGTTATCAACGATGAGATTTGACCCGACCCGAATCTGTTACGAGTCAAATAACTCATCATCTCGGGTCAAGTATCAGCATTATTTGGGTTTTAAGGATTCTTTTCAATGAGAATCATAGCATACTTCATATGGAAAATGGCGTTTAAGGGGGTGTTATTCAACCTTGTATTTTAATTGATTTGGATGTATTTCAAAATCTAGCGTTATTTAACTATGTATTTTAAAAACCACAATAAAATCTGCTGTTATTGGATTTAACATTTGTTGGATGTATTTTAAAGTATTTTAAAACAAGCGTTATTCAATTTTCAATGGATTTTGTTTTCTTTAAGATTTTAATGTATTTTACATCTAAAACACGTACAAACACAATCCTAACACTTTTCAAAGGATTTCATCTCTTTCATACCAAATCCATCTTAATTGTATTTAATGGCTATTGAACTTTAAAATCCACCCGTAATTAAAATCCCTTAAAATTCTCCATCCAATAACACCCCCTAAGGCTAAACGCTTTCTCCCCTTATGGCTAATGTGTAGGATATAGAAAAGCAAGAATGGCATGGCGTTCAATCGTAAAACGATAGACAGAAAAGAGACGGTTGAACAAACATTCATCGATACGATTATACGAATGAATGGCTGGATGATACAGTGGGTACATAGAGTCAACCAGGCGACTCCCATCCATCAGCGACAATCCGATACACTCAAAAGAGACGGTTCATCGATAACCAGGTGAATCCCATCAGCTACAATGTTGAGATGCGAAATGGATCAAATCTTTGAGGGGTTAGACAAAATGTAACTATGATGCTT